CAAAGAAAGTGTTAAATGAGTGTGAACTCCTGCATTTTATTTAAATAAAACAAACTTGTTAAAATTATTTTATTTGTCGGAAGTTTAAAAGTGTAGAGTCACTGAATTGTTTAAATTGTTAGTTTGTTTAATATATCAATGACAACAATTTAATTTTCTTTAAATCCTCCGACCCTTGCAAACTATACATACAATTTTTCTATAAATTGTTCATAACATGAGATATGCTAAATTTTACTCATACTTTGAACATCTTAATACATCTTAAATGCAGATTACATTAAATTAAATGCTTATTTCTACACATACACACACTTTTTGAACATCTTAACATCATACACTAGTATGGTAAAACCTTTATAACAGTGTCAAAAATCATTTAAACATGCTTTAAGTTTTTCTAATACATTGCATTATAACAAACTGATATAAAGATATCTGCATTTTTTGTTGACACGATAATATTGAAAGTATTACAAAGATGATACAGTAACTTCATTACAAAAATTATATTTACGCATTTTTGTGATTAGTTAATAACAAAAACATACACATCATATTTTGTAAATTATACATTACTTATTTTTGTAATGTTGATTTCCCATAGGCCAATCGTAGTTATTCTTGCTGTTAATTCAAGTGTACTATGAGGCTAAAAATTTGGACTGTTACATAGGTAACAGTATTTTTTTTCAGTGAAAAATCTGAAAAATATAAACTTACAGAAACCGTGTCACAATGCAGTATTTATTCATGGTAATAAAATAAATAACACACACGTTATGGAACAACATCTCGTAAAAGTACTGTTACCCGTAGCATACGCCTCCGAAAATAGTATTTTTCTCGGGATAATGTCTTCAATGCCACTCAAAAACAGAACAGAACAGTTTGTTTTATCAACAACACAATCCAGCATTTTTTAACACCGCTTTCAGTGAGGGATGTTACAGTTTCTATTTTACATTACTTTACATTATTTTACATTGAACACAACTCGTGTTTAAAATAACTTTTAACACGTATCACAGTTGTCTCCCTTATAATTCAATTGGAAACGTCTAACAAACGTCACGTGCATTATACATACAAAACGTATTGGCAACGACACTAGAATAAAAGGGATGTAATTAGAGATATGAAAAATTGTTTGCTTACAAATTTATGTTTGTACTAAACACAGGCGCTATTTATATTCCAGAATGACAAACCTTTGCTACTACATCGCACACCATTTAAGCATAATAATTTTCTTTTTTTCTAATACAAAGTGTAAACATTATATCCAACTGTTTTTATGATATCTGCGTTATTTATTAACAAGATAATATTAAACTTATTAATGGATGGTTCAATAAAATCAGTATAACTTTTACATATTAACATGTGATTTGTTAAAATATGAACACACGTGATAGTAGCATCTTGAGTATTATGAGGTAATTAAGAGTCCCCGTAGGGACATTAATAAATTGCGCTCGACACCCATGTTTCAGGGTATCGGCGCGGGGTATTGGGTATAGTTTTAAACTAGCAATAACCACGCCTCGGATAAACCTCATTGGCTATGGTACCGCCACTGCGCAAAGCTGTCAACAATTAATTGTCTTGAGCTTATACACTTAACGAAACCTATAAGTACCCCAAAAACAAACTTGCATTAAACACGTGTTATTTTAAAAATTTGCACATTAGATAATGATTATATGTAATGCCCCAATCTGTCGTCTGCTCAAAAATGAATTGATGCAAAATTAACCATGCAAAACCATACTTTGAGAGTGGTCGTTGAAAATCGAAAACGAGCACGTGAACTTCGTGCAACTGACCATTATGACCAATATAAACATGTATCGATAGAGTGTAGATGTGCCTAACATAAAAACAAAAAACATGGCTCGTATGTCGTTGCAAGAACGTGCAATCGCTATTGGACTTTTAGAAGCCGGAGCGTCTCATGAGCAGGTATGTGGTTCAATACCCATTGTTCGTTTTATTGCATTTCAGTGCATGCATTCTACGACAAGCCCGTTGCTTATCAGTATTATGAATCTTGTAATCCTTTGTTTTTTTCTAGGTTGCCCGAAGAATGCGTGTTACAAAGAAGTCTATTACTAGACTGGCCTCAAAGTACAGACGTACCGGAAGTGTCGCCAATCTTCCGAGGAGACCACGTGGTAGAGTGACAACACGCAGACAAGACCGGTTTATGGTTTTATCGCACCTCCGCCAGCGGAAGCGCACAGCAGTAGAAACAGCAAGGGCCACATTTGGGACTCACAGACGGCCAATCAGCAGCAACACAGTCCGATCGCGCCTCAGATCCGTTGGTATTCGTGCCAGACGGCCGTACCGGGGAATTGTACTACGTGGACACCACCGTCGTGCACGTGTCCGATGGGCGAGGACTCATCTGAGATTCACACGTGCGGACTGGGCACAAGTCTTGTTTACCGATGAGTCCCGTTTCAATGTTCAGGGAAATGATGGGAGAACTCGTGTGTACCGCCGACGTGGTGAGCGTTATGCTGATGCGTGCGTCGTAGAAAGAGATCAGTTCGGCGGCGGCTCCGTAATGATATGGGCTGGAATTTCACTCCACGTGAAAACACCACTTGTTGCAATTCAAGGGAACTTAAATGCAGCTCGTTACCAGAACGAAATTCTTCGCCCCGTTGCCATTCCCATTATTCAACAGAACAGGGGCATGACACTAATGCAAGACGGGGCAACGCGCCACACTGCACGCACAACACGGGCACTCTTGCAACAGCAGAATGTCAACGTACTGCCCTGGCCGTCAAAGTCGCCCGATCTCAACCCGATTGAGAACATATGGGATGAACTTGGCCGGCGTGTCTACAGAGGCCCGAATGCACCCACCAACCAAAGAGAACTACACAACCGACTAATGCAAGAATGGGCTAATATCCCAGTGGCTTATTTTAGAAATTTCATTATGTCAATGCGATCACGGTGCTTAGCAGTAATTAACGCAAACGGTGGACATACGCGATATTGACTTCATAATGTTGGTACAGTATGTACATTATTCATTATCCCTCATGTACAGACTCAATCAAACCGAGTCTGGAATTCTTATGTTTTTTGTTGTGATTAATGCTTCCGAGGGATCACTTTGTTTCCAGAATTTCATAAGACTCTGTTGCGAATTTGTGTACTGGTAGTGATCTCGGTTTATGATCTTTTTTGTTAAGTTTGAGTTGTTTATAAATGAATATTTTGTTATGATATGTTAAAAATATGATTAAACTTTACACAGCATAAGTTTTAAATATTTGACTTAATCATATCATAATTTATGCTGAAAACTATAACTGGGGTACTTATAAGTTCCGTTAAGTGTATATCTCGTAAATATATCAAATGAACAATTCTCAATTTAAAAAAAATGTGATTAAAATTATGTAAATGTAACAAGTTATATTTCTAATGCATAAACTAATAGTATAAACGAATGCACTGCCTTCTATCTGGTTCAATCATAAATTTGTAAACATATCTTATTACATCCCTTTTACCAATACGTTTTGTAAGTACATGTGTTATCGCTTTACGTTTAACTGATGTTTTCAGTTTACTTTATGAACTATTGAATTAAAGGGACACAACTGTGATACGTGTTAAACGTTATTTTACACACAAGTTGGACAATTTGTTGTTTATCCTAGCAAACTGTCTTCTTACGTCGAAGAAAAACTCGTACTGTGTCCATTACTTACAACCATGCCAGATGAAATTTCCGACATGGGTATAACAGACGGAAACACCAGTTAGATAATCAAGAGAACATATTTCAAGAAAATATTGAAAAAAAAATACTAAGATTTTAAGAAAAGTAAAACATTTAAGATTCAATTAATAATTTACATGTTATGTGCAATTAATAACTGATTTTGGAGTATTGATCACCATATTTCTACTGCGTGACTAACGCAGTGAGGGCTATTTTTGAACGCTTTGACCATTTTTTGTGTGATTTATATTGATCATAAGTGCCGTTGCAATGTGTTAAATACAGTGTACTTTCTTTGTCCTCTTCATATTATTTTACCGTTACATCCATTTTCAAAAGATTCGTGAAAAATTAGCATGAATCTAGAGACATGCCGCTTAAGACCACCGCACTATTAAGACCATTTCTAAAGGCACATTATGCCTCAGAAATGAATAGATTTTTTACTACTTTAGAAATTATAGCTAACATAAATTATATAGTTTTACAGTATGTTAGATGTTTGTTACCTGTAGCGCTAAATATGAAATAATTTGTAATAAAAGTAACAAAAAGGAAACAAAGTAGTATTTTAACTTCAATACAAAGTACTAAATCACAATAACTGCACTTTTTGCAAAACAAGAAGAAAAAAGATTGTTCAATAAAAGTACATGAAAAATGCTTCTGAGAAATAAAATTTCAGCATTTCTGGAGCATAATGGGCCTCTTACTGGTATAAAATGTAAATTAGAGGTTTAGTAATATTGAAAAATATAATTGTTTAAGTACATTGAATACAAGCGATAGAATATAGTGTATGAAGAAACATATAATGGACTGCATTTACTATGTTTTAGGCTTCAACGTCAGTTATACGAAACTGAACGTGTAACTTACTTACAACGTTCATTGAATACATGCGACGTCATAATTATGATGAAATATAGTGTATGAAATCACATATAATGGACTGACTGAGAATAGAAATACTTTTATATTTAGTATAACGTCAGTCAAACGAAATTGAACGTGTGATTAACGTACAACATTTTGAAACTAAAAAGGGACATAATTTGATATTAGATAAAGAATTGTTTACTACTTAAAGTCTACATTTAATTACAGAGTATGTATGAGTTCAAACTAAGAAATATCTTATTATAATATTATTTTTTGTTCAATGTCATTTTGCATTACAGTTAAATACTGTTCATTTGTTATATTTAGGAGATATATAAGCTCAAGAAAATTATGTATTGACAGCTTTGCGCAGTGGCGGTACCATAGCCAATGAGGTTTATCCGAGGCGTGGTTATTGCTAGTTGAAAACTATACCCAATACCCCGTGCCCGATACCCTGAAATATGGGTGTCGAGTGCAATTTCTTAACGTCCCTACGGGGACAGACAAAAATTTCATTGCTTATTTTAAGGTGTTATCAAAGAATGTTAACAGATATCGCTGTTATGCCGAATTCGTTTCTCATTTAGAACACATTATGATTCAGTAAAAAAGGGAAGTTTCACACTTTTTTTATTATTTCCATTATATTAGTTATATTAAGAGGCTATCTGATTTGTACGAGGAGGCGTAGCCCCCGAGTATTAATCAGATTGCCGAGTGTTTTGATGTTCTTTTTCTTTTGTATCATAGTCAAACATAAAAACACGTTCCCTGTTGTCACAATATGAAACCCCGGGAAAAAGTAACCAATGAACGAACATCTGAATTTGATAAATTATTTCTGTCGCTTTCCCTTTCTCTTCCGTCACAATAAGTAAACGCCAGCGAAAATGAGGCAATCAATGGGCATGCTCTGGAGTGCGGGTAACTAATACCTGCACTCCAGTTAACGCACAGTGCATGTATATGTATACGATTTAACTCTGACACATTTTCAACAGAAGGTCCCCAAACTATGATACAAAAAGTACTTATTTCACATGTATTGCATAAAAATTACATTGAACGCGTATTTTATACTTCACGTGACGTTAATGCAAAAAGCAGGAACTATTTTCATTTTTTTTTCATCTCCGACGTGACCTGAAAATGTTTCCATCAGCTATGTTTTGTTATTATTTTACTTGAAGTTTATGTTCAGTAGTAAAGTAGTTGTAGTTGTAATTGTAATTGTAGTTGATTTAATTACGGAATTATGATGTTGTTCATGGAATAGGAGGACAAATATATTTGTTTGTTTGTTTTATTGGGTTTTACGTCACACCGACACAGTATAGGTCATATGGCGACGTTCCAGCTTTACTGGTGGAGGAAGACCTCAGGTGCCCTTCCGTGCATTATTTCAGGCACGAACGGGTACCTGAGTAGAACCACCGACGTTCCGTAAGCTAGCTTGATAGCTTCATCACATGAAATAATTCAATGTCCATGTCGGGATTCGAACCTACAGTGGTGAGGGGCAAGTGGTTTGAAGTCAACGACCTTAACCACTCGGCCACGGACGCCCCTCGAATAGGAGGACTAAATGTTATAACTGAATGAATTTCTTAACAACACAATGTGCTTAGTGGTAAATTTCTGTTTGATACTCCTTTGTCTACCATAACTAAAACATATGATCACGATAAATTCTTTGAATTGTTAAATTCAAAACGTTGGTTTAACGTTAAACTATAACGGGACGTAATTTATACGTACAATACGTATTGACAACGGCAATAACATTAAAGGGACGTAATTGTATATACAGCACAACAATGTAAGACAAATACTTTTTTAGAAATCAACTTTGACATTTAATAAGAGGCGATGCAATTGTTTATAAAAATTAATATGCAACATTTTATTTCCATAATTGTTTATGCAATTATTGTTCTCAATAAACCCTTTGTCTACCATAACTAAAACATATGACCACGATAAATTATTTGAATTGTTAAATTCAAAACGTTGATTTAACGTTAAACTATAACGGACGTGAGTTATACGTACAATACGCATTGACAACGGCAATAACATTAAAGGGATGTAATTGTATATAAGACAAATGCTTTTTTATCAATCAACTTTGACATTTAATAAGAGGCGATGTAATGGTTTATACAAATAAGTTTGCTGCATTTGATTTCCATAATTGTTTATGCAATTATTGTTCTCAATTAAAATAGTGGTCTGTTCATTTGTTATATCTACGAGATATATAAGCTCAAGAAAATTAACTATCGACAGCTTTGCGCAGTGGCGGTACCATAGCCAATGAGGTAAATCCGAGGCGTGGTTATTGCTAGTTGAAAACTATACCCAATACCCCGCGCCGATACCCTGAAACATGGGTGTCGAGCGCAATTTCTTAACGTCCCTACGGGGACAGACAAACATTTCAATATATAATTGTATCTTCTATATATTTCATAGACATGTTATCATAATACCGTACCTTATACCTTATCAATATTAACTGTATTGGGTTCTCATTCAAAACACATATTTCTAGCTATTTTATGATTAAGAGAAATGAGATGATTATAACAGACTACAACTCGTATTTTCTTTTCATTTCACTTTTTTGTTAAAGGTACACATTTTAAATGTATTGCAGGAAAATTACATTGAACACCTAATTTGCATATCACGTGACATTCGTGCACCCCCAGGAGACTATTTTCAAGTATTCATCGTCTGGCGCGAAATAACAATGTTTTTTTTGGCGAATGCTTTGTATTGTTATTCTTTATTTGAATTCTATGCCCAAGGTGGGGGGGGGGGGGAGGTGGATGTTGCAGTAATCCTTAAACAATAGGTGTTTTAGGTGCTAACGTAATGAAGAAAGTAATAGCACTAAATCTATTTTATCAAAATGTATGTGGTTAATTGTATTGTTTTTATGATACCTAGTACTCCTTTACCTATCATAACTGGATAAGTTGTTTGAATGTTTGAATTGTAAAATTCAAAACGTTGGTTTAACGTTAAACTATAACGAAAGTGAGTTATACAATACGTATTGACAACGACAATAACATTAAAGGGACGTAATTGTATATACTTTAGGAATCAATTTTGACATTTAATAAGAGGCGATGTATGTGTTTAAGCAAATTAGTAAAAAGCTTTTGGGAAATAAAAATAAAAATCTTTCTGGGGCATAATGGACATTAAAATAGTTGATTTTTTTCTGCATAATAACAAAATACTGCTATAATTCTTTTTAATTTATCATTCCGGTGACACGTGCCCTTTGTGATTGTATAATGCACTTGTATAATACACTAGCCAACTGAAACCCGGGACAAGCATCAAATCCCCAGTGCAGTACGGGGATACTGACGGGTTTTATCCTTTCTTCTTAGTGCCTGTGGTGGTTTCATCAAACTTGCAGCGCAGAAGCTTTTTAAACGAGATTTTTTTATCTGATTGTCGCCACAGGGTAGGACCTTTATCTTTAGTCCGCCATTCCCCAGGGCTGGGGCCGTTGCTAGAACTTACTGGTGCTTTACTGATTTTCTGCATTCAGCTGTTAAAAAAGACATGAAAATACAAGAAGAAGAAGAAGAATGTAATTATTGACATATACGCTGAACTAGTCTAACACTGGTCAAGATATAATAGTTTCAATTACGGTCATTTGTGCAAAGCTTTTTGTCTCAGTGATAACTGTTAATTATCAAGATGATTTTCTTTATTGGCAACATAAACAGTATTTAGTAATAAAACAGAATGAGGCAAGCGTATCAATGAAATGACACTTTTTTTCAAAACCTTCATTAGACGGTCATTTCATAGTGCAAATATTTTATTTTATTTACTTTTTTTTCTATTGATAATTTCATTTAACCACGCGGCTAAATATTGCGTTTTATGCACATCGACGTTTAATAAATTTTATGATTGGGAGAAAAAATAGTTTTATCAGAAATCGTGAACTATATTTACCTTAAACAATTAGCCAAATGTATATTAATCATTTGTATACAATAAAAATGACAATGTGTGACAAAATTGTGTACGTTAACCGCTCGTCATTTCACACTGAGCTGATATTTGAACGTTTTTCATTGGCCAGGCTGGACACTGGTCAGTCGACGTTGACGTTAACATTCGTTAACGTTAGTAGCGTACGTTAGTTGACGTATAGGGAAATTGATATTCGGATTTATTTAAGCAGCTGAAAATCTTGCAAAACAGCAGAATTGTGGAGACAACGCAAGCAAAATTACACTACAAAATAACACTCGCAGTAATTTCTGATCGTCAGACAAACATTTGATAAGGTAAGATATATTTTATCTATTAAATTTACTTGTTAAACAGTCGAAGCTTTTTAGTTGTTTGTATTAAATTAGCATGCCCCCAGAACATGCTGATTTTCATGAACATTTTGAAATTGTGTTGAAATAAAAATATTGTTAAGATTTTGATTGAAAAAATAATCAGTAAATATAACACATTGCAAACGGTGCTTACCATCCATGTAAATTACTAAAAAGCTGTCAAAATATGCAAAAAATGTCTTTACTGCGTTAGTAAAGCAGTAGAAATATAGTGATAAATACTGCAAAAATCAGTCGTAGATCGCACACAACTTGTAAATTATTACTTGAATCTTGAAATTTGCTGTTTACTTTCTATAATAATAATAATAATAATAATAATAATAATAATAATAATAATAATAATAATAAATAATAATAAATGAACGGACGATTTTAGGAGTTTAAGAAACACGACCTAGCTTCTTTGATAAGTTTATTAAATTGAAGATAAAAACAAAATCTTGAGAGCGATTCAAGTATTTAAGTAACAGGCAAACTGAGTCTAACTGGGACTGAATTTTTTTTGATTTTCAACATTATTTTTTCAGTCTTAATGAAGTTTTGGCGCATTGATTGTTATTAATAGATAAAATAAGTTTTAAATAAAACTCATTTCGGATACTAACATTTCGGATATTAATAATAAGTTATTTTGTATACTTTACAGCTCTAGAGAAAATGGGCAGATTACATTTCAATCTTGCTGCACTTTGTTGTGTACAACTTATGTCAAGTATTACAGCTCAGCAAGTGAACAACATCAGAGATGGACCAGGCCAAAACCAGAGACAAGCACCTGGTATGTTATTAAACATCTTTATAAATAAATCATTCCGTAACAATCGGAACGTCTCGGAAATATCCGCCATTTTTCGATTATTTGTTCCGAATAATTAAGTTACTCAAAACAATGTATCCCAATTGTTTTCGCGCACTATTTTCCTTTTTGATATACGAGTAGATAATTTAACCAGCTATGATATAGTCGAAGAAGTAAGCAATTTAATATTAACAATATGGAAGGGAAACTGAATAACTTTATTTGTCTGGAAAAACAAAAAACTATTTTTACTATATTTGCTAAAGAATTCATCTAATTTAGTATGATATCTTAACTTTTGATATTAATTTCAATGTTTGCAGAATGTACACTCACGAAAGAAGTTGGAAATTGCAACGACCAAGTCAAGAAATTCTACTTTGATATCACAACTGGCACTTGCCGAGAATTCATTTACTCTGGATGTGGTGGCAACCTTAATAACTTTCTAAATATAGAACGCTGTAATAGCAGGTGCGTGTGCTGGAATAAAAAATCCGCCGGTAGGGGGACGGGAAGAGAAACGAGATATTTTTACAACAAAGAAACGGAAAGATGCGAATCCTTTTTCTACAAAGGTGCGGGCGGAAATATCAACCGTTTCCGCACATTACAGGAATGCCAAGGAATGTGTGAACGTGCAACCTTGAGATATATATGCAGCAGACGACCCGAGTTTGGCACCGACTGCAATAACAACTCGACAATCCAGTTTTATTACGACAAGCGAAGTGACACTTGCCGAAAATTTACTTACCTTGGATGTGGTGGTAATAGAAATAGGTTTCCTTCGAATAAAGTATGCAAACAGGTCTGTTACTTTTACGATGGTCCAAGACCAACAGTTCCGCCACAGCCAACACGCTCAACAATAACAACAACAACACAGCCACGCCCACAACCTCCAAGGGTTTGTCTTAGTAGTCCTGATGCAGGTTTCTGCATTTTTAGTTTTGACCGATACTATTACGACACAATTACAAGAACATGCAAAAGATTTGCTTATTCCGGATGTGGAGGCAATGCCAATAGATTCCTCTCTAAGAGGTTATGCGAGAGAACGTGCGTTTACTTGTAATCAGGGGAGTAACTCTTAGCAACTTGCGCAATCTTGTAAACAAGGGAATGCACTCTTAGTAACTTACTGAAATGTTGATTCTTATGTTATTTATTTAACGTTTTACGGATTTCCAGCTTCGAATATTTGTTTGAAGTTAATGTATGTCTCTATATACAATGAATATGTGATATTTTTTCTAAATAAAACAAACGTTTCAAATGTAAATATATGGGCCTTCTCATCATTATGTTTCCTTAGAATTCCCTGTCTATGACCCCCACCCGTCCATTTTGTCCCGAAGAATATAATGAGTGTCAGTAGAACAATTTCACCATGCATAGAGAAGTTTGAAGTAGAATTCAAAAAAGAAAAATCTAAGATTTTACATGTTATCTAAAAAAAAACAAAAACTGACGTAGAATTATGATCCCGTGCTTACAAACAAACAACAAGGGCCATCGGTTATGGCATGTGTCGCCTAATGATAGCCATACCTCGGCAAAAAAATCATTCAACCTAAAAACCCGTGTAATACGCACAAGAATTTGAGCTATCGATAAATCCTGTTTCATTGAAATTGCATTAGTGGTATAACAGGAGTAGTCCGGACAAATTTCAAAATTAAAATCATGAAAGGGTAAAAAAACTGACCGAGAAATGTTGATGAGATGCACAAGAAGACATGATATTGGTCATTCCCCTTAAGTTTTGATGATATTGCACCGGTAGTTTCTAAGAAGTAGTCCAGACAAACATCTGTGTAGTTTGCAACACAAAAACACCTTTATATTCAAGGACAATAACTCAGTAAAAAATCATTCAAGCAAAAAAACTTGTGTATTGTACACAAGCACTTTACCTACTTATCAATCCTTTAAAATTTCATTGAAATTGCATCAGTGGTGTAAGAGTAGTCCAGACAAACCTTATTAACACCGTTCTATTCAAGGGCCATAAATGGACAAAAATCATTCAAGCGGAAAACCCATGTAATATGCGCAAGAACTTGACCTTCCAATTAATCCTATAAAATTTCATTAAAAATGCATTAGTGGTATAGAGGAGAGTCCGGACAAATCTTTAAAAATAGAAAATATTAAAGGACCATAACTCCAACAAATATTCATTGAACTGGAAAATGCTGACGATATGCAAAACTGGACTTGGTACTGATCATTACTGTTTAGTTCGGATAAAATTGCACAAGTAGTTTATGAGGAGTAGTCCGCAAAAGATTTTTGACGGATGGACGGACAGCAGACAGATGACGGAGAAGTGATCCCTGTATGTCGCGTCTACTCCGTAGAGGCGACATAAAATGTATTTGCTAAAAACAAATGCCTCAGAATACAAATGTACAAGACTTGAACCACAGCCATTGTTTCATTAATTACGGAGGTCATAAACTCGATGAAGTATTTTGACCGGTCGTACTGGTCACTTAATAAATCAAATGTCACATGTAGAATGTGATATGTATCAAAACTGCAGAAATTTAATATATATGTAATTATATAATTCAGAAAAGGGACAGTACTCTAAGATACCAAAGTGTCTGAAGCATGACAAAGCTAAAAATAAATAACAGAGCATCGAAACACGAGGATATTTAATTTGTTCGAGGGGCATAGCTTCCAAGTATAAATCCTATTAGGGAGTGTTTTGATCTCCTTTCTCTGTTGTATCATAGGCAAAAATATAAAGACGTAGCTGGCATCATAAAATAAAACCCAAGAAAAATGTACCCAATCAACGAGTATGCCCTATTTTTATCCCTGACGGACAGTACGGTAACTTGACTGCGGGTTACTAATATCTGCACTTCATTTAACGCACTGTGCATGTATGGGTACTTTTCCTTTGACATAATTATAATAGAAAGGCCTCCAAACTATAATGCGAATAAACAAGTAGTATCTTTGAAAAAAGATACTCGACCGGAGTAAAACTGGTTTACTTGCAAATGCTAGTTTTTCATTAGTTTTTCATGCAAAGTCACATAGAAATGTCAGCATAATTTGCATCACAATAACGTAATAATATTGATCTTGAAAACACTTTTAGATGTATGTGTTTTGGTGTATGTGTTTCTAAACAAACCTGCCGTGCTGCGGTAAGTGAACTCAATTTCTATCACCAACATCTACGCAGTCGATAAGGCAATTATACTTGATTAATATCGAAAAATAAATACAATTTATCAACATTATATCAATTTGAACACATCAATATGCATTGTAATATATTAGACACTTATTGAACATCATAAAGTAAGTCTACCTGATAAGTTCCGATATTTTTCTCATTATTTTAGACAAAATTTAAAACTTAATCTTGTGTAAAATAAACTTTTAAAGTTCTTTAAAAAAGACCAATGAAAGCTCGAATGTCAGCTATGATCTTTTTATAAATATAACAGGACGGACAAACGGACACTCGGTGAGCACAGTTAACGTCCTAGTTATTTACCAAGATTCATTTAGTATTAAATTAAGAATTCAAATAAGAATAATAATATCTGTCATATTTTGCGGTTCGGATAGGAATATCCGTCTCGAGGTAACCCGCCCATTCGGCAAGCCTCGTTACCGCCCAATGGGCGGGTCACCTCGGGACGAATATTCCGATCCGAACCGCAAAATATGACAGATATTATTATTCTCGAGTTTTTCGTAGGGTTTCATTATGTAATAAGGTCAGGTAATGTACTTGTTTAGTCATAGAAAATGAAAACAGAACTTGTCGAGTAGGCAAAGGTAAGATTATTATTTTGATATATGAATACATAATATATTAATATAGACAAATATTGAGGAAGATAAAAAAGTTTCTAATCATAATCACGGAATATTTTATCTTTATAAATAATTAATTTCATGGTAAATAGATGATCAGGTTATTTCTAATATAATTAAATTATACGATTTTTTCATAGGAATGTAAAAGACAGGGTTCTATGAATGAATATTAGTTATACATGTAGATATACTGTCATGTAAGTTGGGTTTTCTGTTGTTTTTTTATGCTGGCTGATTTTGAATATTCTTAGAATTTCATTCATGTTTGGAAGAATTCTCTTTCGGTGTATTCTTCATTAGCATCATCCGTTATTAATATGTTTGATATGACCGCACCGCATGTAAGCACGCGGTCTAGAATGGAAGCGCAAGTTGTATACTTGTGAAGAACTGGCGAGTACTGGTACACAAAATCAAAATTGTAATGTAAAAAAATGGAAAAAATGAGAAATAAAAACGGTCTTATACTTAAGATGAACTATACTCTCACTGAAAGAAAGATGCAGAAGTTGACTTTGATTCGGTATGCACCAAGCGTCGTATATATCCCATAATGCAGAATTGTAAAAATAATGCAGGATTATGCAAACTCAGACATAGTGGAACTAGTATGTTCACATTGACCCAACTGACCCCTAGCTCCATTCGAAGATTTTTTTAAACAATCCTACAAAATATAAAAGACATCTGTCAATTGAATAAGGTTAATATGCCTGTAAAAGTATGAAAGTCTTTTTTTGTCATTGGTGATCTTGACTTTGACCCAAAAGACCCTTAACTAAACCGAAAGGAATAGGACATCCCTTTGGAAATTTGTTTTAAACATGAAAGGCATCAACTACAAAATAAGGCAAAATGTTTAAATTTGTTCTTTTACCAGTGACCTTGACCTTCACCCTAGGGATCCCTTACTCCATAGAAAATTAGAGGACCATTTAAGGTTTACCTACGAAATATGAAAAATATCATTTAATAAATGAAGTGATTAGGAGAAATTTAAGATATATCTAACTTGCCAAATAAGTTAACCATTCATGGCCCTATTTTGAAAAGAGATGAAAATCGAAATAATTGGGAAAATGGATGGCACAGTTATATAACTTGGTAATATCATGTATTTTGTATAAATAAGTAAGTGTGGTAATTATGAAGCTATAGGTATAAATGGAACTTATTTCCAACATGCAATTAAGGTTGACACATTATTTATTTTTTAGTGCTGAAAATGGCATTAATTTGGTAAAATGAAAGCCATAGTTATTTAACATGCCCACATGATGTACTTTGTGTTGATAATAAGTGTGTAACATTATGCAATAGGGATGTATAGGTAGTACTTAAAATATCGAACTTGCAGTCTTCCCCTTTGCCCCTAGTTTTTATTTATTCTATTTATCCCCACCTCCCCGGGTCTCATGTCCCCTAACCATGTGCCTTTTGACTTTATGGGCCTAACATTCAATAAATATTTTGTTTTCTTTTGGTTCCTTATCAGTTTCTAATTATTTATCCCTAGGTAGTGGTTTGCCTGCCCGTACTCTGCCTTATGCCCTTTCCTGTTTTTGTTTGGGGTCCTCCTGGGCTCCTTGCCACTGGCTCTTGTTACTGGGTCGGGTGAGGGCTGCGTTCATTGAACGCCGCCTTTCCTTGATGATCTTGTTTATCGTATTTTAGGATTACCTCGTACGGACAGACGGATGGACGGTTAAATTATTATACGCCCGGGGCATAAAAATTAAGGCTTAAGTGACATTTCTAGTTTATAGCTGCATAAGACTTTTCACTCTACGTCAAAACAGAAATGAATCTTGACATTATGCAAAAAGAACGTGATAAGCTTTAACTATTATCAACAAGAAATTTACAATATAAATTCCTCATTAGAATCATAGAATCATACAAACTCATACATTTCTTTTCAAATGCAAACTGTCTGACACCAACATTTGAATTATTTCGTAAAGTGTTATACATTTGCATACAAATAGAAGGACAAACTGCAATTTCCAAAGATATATTGAAAGCTCATAGGACAAAATGAAATATCCTTTGTGAAATATGAATTGTCGGGTAAATAAAGAGTAAAGTAATGTTAAACACGGATGCCCCCACACTCCACTGTTTTGTCAATCTACTGACTCTAGGTCAATTTCTTTTGGGCTTCACCTAAAACAAGTTGAAAACTAAATTTATTTACATAGTCAATGCCAAAATCTCTACAAATACTGAATAAATCTACAAGCAAACACCAAGGTGTATAACTTCACATGTTGACAAA